AAGTGGGAGTTAAGTGATCAAATTTTTATTTATTTCAAAAAGGTTAGTCCAGCTATATAGTAAAAAAGGGATTAGAATGGAAAATAACACATGTAAGGGAGACCATCTAGGAAGCTATTACCGAGTCCGGGGCAAGAGCTTGGACTGGAGTGGTCATGATGGTGGAGATGAGTACAAGAGATGACTTCGAGAGATGTTTAGGAGGTCAAAATCTGTTGATGTAGTGGATAAGTGGGAGTGAGGTGGCAAGTCTGAGTCTTAAGATCCTTTTCTGGGATGATGAGTCCTGAAGAGGGTCTAGTTTGGCAAAAGGAAAACATGAGTTCAGCTGTGGACATAATGATTCTGAGGTGCCTTTAGACTTCCAAATGGAGATGCTAAGTGGACGGTTGAATGTGTGAATCTGAAACAAAGTGGAGAGATCTAGACTGGAAATATACATTTATGAGTCAACTGTTTATGGAGAGAATTGAGGCCAGGGGCATAGATGAGAATATTCAGGAAAAGAATACCTATGAGGAATGGGGAGAGTCTAAGCCTGAGCTTTGAGGAAATTCAACATTGAATGTCTGGGTGGAGGACATTGAGCTGCAAAAGCCAACGAAAAGAAGTCAGTGAGATGGGAGGAAAACCAGGACACTGTTGTGTGATGGAAACCAAAGTCAGCTGTGCTGCGGCCACTGAGAGGTGATGTGAGATGAAGACTGAGAATTGGCACTGGCTTCAGCCATGGGAGGCCATTGGTGACTTAGGAAAGGATCAGGTCAGTGGAGTGGTAGAGATGGAAGTCAGATGTGAAAGGAAGGAGGAAAGAATGATAGGTGATAGAAGGAAGATACACAGAATAGATTTTTGTAGCAAAATTTGTGATAAAGAAGACAGACAGAGGGAGATGGCTAGAAGGCATTGTGGGTTGAAGGAGAGCTCTGTGTGTGTAATGTTGTTTAATGGCAGGGCGTCTTGGGTACATTTAATAGGCAATGAGAAAGTTCCAGAATGAAAGAGAAAGGCGAAGTAATCAACAAATTTTCTGAGAAGATGGAAAAGGACAAAATCCAAAGCAGAGCTCTGGAGAAGAGTCTTAAACCGTTGGAGGGGCAGCTTCTAATAGAAATAGTGGAAGAAAAGGCTAGGATGGACATGAGCGCAGGCGGGTTTATACGGTTGATAGCAGGAAGTTCCTACCTGGTTCTTTCTGGTTGTGTGTATGTGAGTCTCCATGTGTGAGTGGTCTGGTGGGTGAATGGACAGAGGTTTGAGGTCATGATGTCGTCTTCTATTAGGCTGCTCACTAAAATGGGTTTGCACCTGTGTAGACATGAATGATATTGATGCACGTAGATAGACTCCATTTTGCATGGCAGGGTACAGGAATGCCTTCCCACAAATGGGAAAATGGGAATGAAAACTGAATCGGCCCCGTATGGGCTCATTTTAGCACACTCCCTATGGAGATGTGTTCCTGACATGGTACGTTAGCAATCGCTGTTCTGTTCTCTTTGAATCCCTTCAAATCATGACAAGCCTCTAGCTATAGTTCCTTCCAGCTGCTCTTGATATGATTGGTCACTTCCTCTCAGGCTCCAGTGATGTTCGTGATGCCGTTTCTCAGGCCAAATGGCTTTCAACAATCCTTAATCCTTACCAGCTGTCTCCTCCACTGGTTCCTAACAAGAACTCTCCTATTTGGAGTGCTGTGAAACTTGCATTTTAACACTGGGAATGGTACCGTTCTTTGGCACTTGGCTGGAGGCATCCATCTTATGCTTCCCCCCTTTTTCATTATTTGGGAGTTTATTGTAGTGCCCACTCTATCCTACTGGCTAATCAGCAGAGAGAAAAGATATATTAGCTGTTCTTTTCAATATCGCCCTGGGCATACATCTGCATAATCTGTATATATGTATGTGTGTGTGTGTTTTTCTGAAATAAAGAGCATCATAGTATGTAAAATAGCATGACACAGGGCAACTCTCTGAAATAGACCTATTTTTTTTCTTTTATAGATTTTTGTCATCAGGGTTATAGTAGTGTTGTAAGGTGAATAGGAGTTTTCCATACCTTTCAATAATCTTAAACAGCTTATGTCATAGAAATTATCTGTTTAAGAAGTTTGAAAGAACTAGTTCCTGCAACTGTCTAAATCCACTTCTTTTTGTCCTGCTTGAGGGCAGGATTGAGGGGGAGCGTCCATGGCCTGATCTTTTAACATTATTTTCAAGTTCCCCCGTTTATTGTTGTATTCAATTCAAATTCTTACTTTATAAGTTAACTCTATAATTTAGGTTTTCTTGGAAAAAAAATCATCCATTTCATGGAGATATTGCAGTTATTATCAAGAGTTGTGATCTCTTATCAAGTTGCTTTATGCTTCCCTCTTCTCTTTTTTCTTGCCACAAATAGTGTGTAATCTATTCACTCTTTTTGACTTAGGAGTTTTATAGGGAACAACTTTTTTTAAATTCTAATGGTTGGATTTGAGGGGGTTAATTGTTTACTCTTCATTTATGGTTGAACTCTATTATGGTCAGAGAAGGTTATCTGCGTAATTTCTGGCTTTTGGAACTCATTGCAATTTTCTTTATAGACTAATATCGGATCAATTTTTGTTAGTGTTCCATTGGTGATTAAAAAGATCATATTACATCTATTTCTAGGGCCCAAGCCTATTTGGTTATTAAATCGACATAATTTTCTTATTCGAATCATTTTTCCATGTTTATTTTACAACTTGATGTATTAGCTACTGGGTGGCACTTTAAAGGCTCTGACTATAGATTTTCTTCATTGCTCCAGGTATTTCTTACTTTCCGTGTATGCGTGTGTGTGTGTGTGTGTTATGTTATGTGGCCTGTTGAATTAGTCAAGACTTGTTTGCAAGAAACCCAACTCAGACTAAGCTTAAACCAACAAAAGGGAATGTATTAGCTCATTTATTGGCTCTGTCTCCCCTCTTAGAGGCTACATTTTTACCCTTTAATCATTAATTCATTTCTTGATGAAAGCTTTGAATCTTTTTTTTGGTCAAAAAAATGACCCTCTTATTATGACATTGCAGAAGTCAAATCTGAAGTGAAGGATGTTGCCTCATGCTACAAGGAATTTATTAGAAAAATTACACCAAACTTTCAATACTTGATTTATTTTATATCTTCTAAATACATACTTGCAATTATTACCCAAATTTTGTTAAGTATGTGATGAAGCAGACTTATTTTTATAATTTTTACTTTTGGAGATAATGGTGTGATCAAACCTCTTGAAGTGAAAAGTGTTACAGTCACATTTAGGTCCAGTAGGTGGGATGGAGGGTATTATTGTGGCCGTCTTTGGAAAATGCATTCTCCCTCGGTGTGTCCTTAATCCTCTATTAAACTTTTAAATTCCTTTCAGTAAACTTGCTTTAAGACAGAAAAGTTTGTCATGAGCGTAGTAAAATTCCATCCAGAATAGTTAAAATGAGATAATTTTGGTATTTTAAGGCCCACCCACTCAAGCTCCAGAAAACATTCCAAAATAATCTCTGAGTATATTTGCTAAAGAATTTTGACTACAAATTAAAATACATGTGAAAGATAACCAGATTTTTCTCAGATTAAAAATAAATGAAACCTGCTGGAAAATGAACACCTTTGTCCTTGCAAGGTCACAAAGGAAGCTTGACATTTGCAAATGGGAACCAGAGTTCTTAAGTTGTGGCAGTGTTGCCTTATGTCTAAAATTAGCCAATGTTTATTTAAAAAGTTCATGGAAGATGCATAGAGATTTAAGACTGCATCCTGCTATGGCCGGGAACATAAAATTACAACTGAAGAAAGCAGGAGAAAATTTAGTGGAAAGAACTAAACATCACAAATATATATTCTATATATATTTTTGGCCCATACTGTATTCTGTAAAATATTGTAAAATGATTGAATTGAAACATGACATTGGGAAAAAGAACCACACTCTTATACTATAATGGAACACACATTCTTGCCTGAAACTAAATACATATGCATATTTCAAATAGCATAGTCAGTAGCTATTACAGCTTATTTGATTTTTTTTCATCAAAAGTCGGATTTATATTCTGTTCAGTTCTGATTTCCCAATCATTCTTTTTGTTTCAAGAGGCGAAGAATAGCGGTGGAGACGTGGGCTGTGGGGTCAGACGTGAAAATTCATATTTGAACAAGAAGCATTCATTGCGTTGGGAAGCCGACGGGCTGTGTTGCATTTTGGAATCTCCAAAGCACAAAAGAAAGACCACTGAATTCGGAGGCAGGAAAGCTAATTTTTCATTTTGAATCCACCACTTTTTTGATGTCTTAATGTCTCTCCAAACCAGTTTCCTTGTTATTAAATTAATAAGGTGGAGAGAGTGATACCATTCTTCTGACCTCCGAAGATGACTATGGGCTCAAATAAGATATTTGAAAGTACTTTTACACCCCCAGAGCACTTTCCCAATGGGGAGTATTGCTGTTGTTTTTAGCAGAAATGGAAATATTACTAATTATAGTGGTAGCAAACAGGAACTCAAACCATGATGAAAATTTTCATGAGGATTATAGATCAAATTTAGCACGTATGCAATGATATAGAGACAGTGTTGTTCTTTAGCAGCTGATATGAAAATTCCCCTCAGGGAAACTATTGTGTGTGCTTGGAAGGAACATCCCGATGATTCTTTCGAGGGAACCCCTAGCTCTGAGTACATTCGGAATGCAGGTAAGTCTGAAGGCAGACAGGGAGTCAAAGATGCTCCTTAATCTCTCAAGGTGGGTCTATTTGAAGGGGAGGCAGAAGAGGGGCTGAGCTTAAAAGGTGGCTGAGGGAATATCAGAGACCCGGAGACTTCAGAATATGCCAAGTCGCTTGCCCCCACAGGCACGATGAGTTGCAGCCTACAGCCACACAATACAGTCAAAAGGGCAGTGGCTTAGCAATTTCCTTTTTTCCCCACCAGAAATCATTCTCAGTCATTTGCATTGTTTTCTCTTTCCAACCTCCAGGCCATCAAGAAGCTATAGCAGTGTGCTTACACATCCAGACTCAGCAGACAGTCAATGACACCTTATGCAACATGGTCCACCGTCCTCCAGCGATGAGCCAGGCTTGTAACACAGAACCCTGCCCGCCCAGGTATGTGCTGCCTTGTGCTCTGGGACACACTGTGTCTAGATGGAGCATCTGCTCCTGCAGGCAAGCACAGGAGACTCCCAGGTTCCCCCCGGGGAGGTCAGGTGAACCTGTTTCAGAGCTCTCTCTTCTCTGCTCAAGTTATGCTCTGGCCAGATTCTTGCTTAGAGGCACAGATACTTCCGTGTTGAGCCGGAATCCCCTTTAGCCTGACTTTTGTTTGCGTCTAACATGAATGAACATAAGGTGGCCTGCTGCTGGCAAAACCATGAGCTCAGCAGGGTTGTTCTCCTTCTCCTCTCTGTCTCTTCAAGGGCGCTTCTTCACCTGATGCCACATCAGAGAGCACAGGATCTGAGGTAGACTTAGCACTGGCACATAGTAGGTGCTCAATCCATATTTGTTGAATTACTGAGTGATCTCCTGTTTCTTACCTAGAACTCTCACTGATGTGTTACTACCCTTCCCATTGAGTTGCCTTCGATCTCAGGTTGTGGTGTGTAATGTTAGAGGCCCCAAAGAAGAGATGAGGATGACTTCTTATGGGTCTCCTTGATTTGAAAGATTGACCTTAAACATTAATCTGCTTCTTTTCTTAAGTCCTTATAAGATCCTGGGGAATTTCATCAGAAGGGAGGGTAGGTTTGTTTCCCCATGTTCCACTGTCCCTGAGTGTCACTGGCTACAGAGAATTATAACTCAGCATCACTGGCTTCTCACATAAGAGCTTCCAGAATCCAGCCTCCAACCTTTTCCTTCCTCTCTCCTTTACCTTCATTACCTTGACCACTCTTCTGTGATAAGAATCAGTTGCCAAAAAGTGAGAGCCCATTATCAGTCACCTGCCCCCTCTCTCTGCCAGCTTCTCTTTCCTGCTTCTTGGTAATTACGTCGCCCATCTAACGAGGTACCTTTATTCGCTAAAGGAGAGTTCTGCTATGTCTAGGACTCTAAATAATTGAGGAAGGTTATTGTGTCCCTCTGCTGTCCTTACTGGAGTAAGGATAAGTTTATTTTATGTTTATTCCGGAAATACACTGTGCTTCTGGAATCCGCTTGACCCTTCTGATTTTGACTCCATGAAATGTGTTGACTGTGATGTAGAAACTCCTGCCTTGATGGCATGAGGGTGCTGAGGGTGGGGGTCAAGTCAGTCAGACCATCCTAGGAATCCACCCCTCCATATCTTGGAGATGGGCCCTTTCCTTGTGAGTCTTGGTCTCCAACCTGCACAGTCTGGAGAGGAGGCCAGCTTCCTCTGTGGTGAGACCATGCCTGTAGGGAGCCGCAGGGTTCTAGATCCATTATGATATTTCGGACTTCGGTTGTAGGCTAAGGAAATACCAGGAACTCTTGACTTGCGTCAGAGGCCTCTTGACGTGCTTGGCTGAGATGATGCAGTACATGTCTTTCTTTGTTGGGCAAGGCTCAGAAGCAGCGTAGGAAAGTCTGCTTGCTCCTACCTCCCACCCCCATGCCTACCCCCGGGCTTATTGCATTCCAGAGCAATCCACGCTCGAAGACTAGCAGAAGAAATGGTACAGAAAGAGTTTGGGAAGGCTTGAGCCAACTCAGTGTCAGGATGCCCACTTCGTCACGTGTGTCCAGCGCTTTCCAAGATCATCAAAATGTGGGAGTCATGCTGAGTATATATCCGCTTGGAACGTCCCTTTTATCTTTAGAGAGATGGCACTTAAGCTAAGTGTATAAAACTTAGTAATCCAAATTACTTATCTAAGTTTCTCAGTGTTTTCTTATTCTAATATTGGAACCACTGACTCAAGATATTTTTTGGAAAAGCCAGGGTTTTGATTTTCCTTCCCTGCCACATCCCTCCCCTCAGGCTCTGTAGATGGAAACAGATGACTACCTGTCTGAACCGGGAAATACTGGGAGGAGGAAAAAAACCTAGTTTACCATCTCAACATATTTTCCCATGAAATTGGAATCGTGTACTACCTCCCCTTTCTCTACACGAGCCGGCACACTCTTTCTGGAAAGGTGACTATAAAAGAAATGATTTGGAACGTGCACAAACTTGAAATAGTGACTGCAGTTTGGCTAAGCATGAAATTCTCATAGCCACGAACAAAGAAGAGTCAAAAGAAGAAAATACTATGCAAAATTTGGGGATACATTTTATTTCTAATTCAAATCTTATTCCATATCGACATAAAGCTAGTCTTCACCACAGTTCAGTCTTCTATTTCTAGCCCAGACCAAGGATAAATGATGATATGGGCAAAAGTTGACCTGATGACAACTAAAACGGAAAATGGAAACAGATGACAGCTGAAAAGTCACTTCAAATGAGAGTGACTTGCATGTCACAGGATTAAGAGGGGCTGAGAACAGTGATGAAACTCAATTTCATTTTTATAAAAATCACCCTGTCATGATCTTGCTCTGAAAGTGAAGACAACCATAATGTATCACCATATAGTTTTTTCAGGAAAAAAAAATATGAAAATACAAAACAATACCTTCTCTCTTCATTCTAAGAATTGGTGCACACAGTTGCAATTACAACCTAAATTATGTTGAATATATGATAACTTGATTTCATGATTTTTAGTTTAATTTTTCAAGACTAAGTCCAAATCAAACATTTTCCCCACCATTTATCATAAAATTTGAGTCTCTTTTTAGAGGGGATTCACATCAAGTGGCTTTTTCTGGTTTCGTTGGACATGGCATTCTTGATAACTTTGACAATTTTCTTCTCAATATTTTGTGAACCTGCCCTATTCATTCCTAATTGCCACTGTTGTAATTCAGATGTGTTTTACCTGAATTATTTCAATAGTTTTTGAATAAGCTCCTGTCTCTAGTGTTTCCTGCTCTGATCCGTGTGCACGTGTATAACTAGGAAAGATCATGTGACCCTCCCACATGAAACCCTTCACTGACTTTCCTTTACCTGTGGATTAAAATCCACATTCCTTACAGTGGCGTGTGAATTAGTCTGCTCAGGCCACCATAACAAAGTACCACAGACTGAGTGGCTTCAACTACAGAAATTTATTGTCTCATAGTTCTAGAGACTAGAAGTCCGTAAACCAGGTGTTGGCAGGGTTGGTTGCTTCTGGGGGCCATGAGGGAAAATCTGTCCCCCGCCTCCCTCCTAACTTCTGGTGGCCCCAGGCGTTCCTTGGCTTGTGGATGGTGTTTTCCTGTGCCTTCGTAGGGTCTTCCTTCTGTATGTCTCTTTGTCCAAATTTTCACTTTTCCTAAGGACAGTGCTCATATTGGATTGGGGCCCACTCTCATGACCTCATCCTAGCTTGATCCTCTTCAAAGACTCTATTTCCAAATAAGGTCAAGTTACAGGAATGAGGAGTCAAGACTTCGACATCTTTTTGAGGGAAACAGTTCAACCTATAACAGCGTATAAAATCTTTTGTGACTCTGTTTTTGGGTTCTTGAACCATATCTCCTGTCACTACCACCCTCACCACACATACACACACACACACACACACACACACACTCACCCTCAGGAGCTTGTTCAGCAGCCACACTAAATTGTTCACCATGACCCATCTCATGCTCGTTCATGCTTTCTGGGCCTTTGCACATACAGGCCCTCTGCCTGGAGCCCTTCTCTTCTATGAAATAAGCTAATTCTCTCCCATAAGGGTAATCGTTGACTCACTTCTCACTGGTATGATGAAGTCCAGCAGAACATGAAATAGCATCCTGACCTGAGACACTTGATCGAGAGGAACTCTTCAGAATCAAAAGAGAACTGGGAATGAGTGAAGGACCCTGGGGTAGAGCCCCAGTTCTGCCTCTCTCCAGGAATTCCAGACAAGCCCCCTAGCTCTCTGGGCCTTGTTTCTGAATCTGAACAATGATAAAAGACATTAGACTTTATGATCACCAGGGTCCCGTTCAGCTCCAGTCTTTCCTTGTTGCGTAGTGCTTTCAAGTCATGTGTTTCCCTCACGTCTTCAGAACTGTGCCTAGTCTTTTTTGCACTTATCCTCCTGTCTACTCATAAGTAGTTTGTTTTAGTTCTGAGAACAACAGCCTTTGCTTACCCTGCCCGGGAGGTCAAGGCGGGGTGGAATTCGGTTTGCGGTTCTGTCCTTTGCTCAGCAAATCAGAGCGAGATTTCTCAACAAGTCTAGAAATTGTGTCTTAAGCCTGCTACAGGGAACATGCTGGTTTAATTATGCGCCAGCCCGTGTGCAGTGTCGCCTCCCCTCATCACTGTGCCCCATGCACATCATCTCCTCCAGCAGTGTCTTGCCCACAGAGCTTCCGAGCTGGGAATAATAGAGCACACGATACGTCTTGGCCACTTTGCAAAATTAAGAGTCTGTTTTTATGTGCAGGGAAATACTATTCCTCATTTCAAAGTTGCAAATTTAATAATCTTTTTGAAGGTTGAGAGTTATATTGGAAAAAAACCAGCGGAGACAAAGGTTGGTGCCAAAATAAAGGTAAGTTTACAAAAATGTTTTAGGTTCGAGAAACCAGTGTTGTAGGAATAACAGGAACAGGGTGTTGCATAATACTTTCCATACAAATATTTACTGACTCCAAGGGCAATAGCAGTAAAATATCACCCCAGGGTGAAACTTACCACTGAGATTGGGCTGGGCAGTCAATGGATCTTTATTTACCCAAAGGCAAATGTATTTGATGTATTAGCCTGGGCTCTCCAAGGTGGGGTGTCCTATGTTTATTTGCTCTTATGAGCTTACTCCCCCGGTCTATCCTATAACTGCTGAGTATCTGCTATTTGCGGAGTTTGCTTTTTCCAGGAGAGCACCAGGAGCCTGTAGAAACAGGCAGTGTTACATAATGGTCCCGCTCGCCTGAGGAGAGCCTTCTTCTCTGACAGGATTCAGCGCTGCTAGGGAGGGACTAGGAAAGCCAGAGAGAGTGATGTGTTTCTGGACCAACTTGTTACCCTATTCTCGAATTTAAAAAAAATCTGTATTTAGTCCGTTGTCTATTAATAAGAAATTTTTCTCCATTTCTTGAATAATAAT